ACCCTCCTTCTGGGTGGGGCAGGGAACCTGGAACTTCCCCTTTTCCTAGGGACCACCCTGTTACAACTACTGCTTAAATTTCAAATGAAGATAAAATGTGCTGGAATAGGAATGTGAGTCAAAGGGAAAAGGGGATTCTTGGGAGACTTTTCAGGGGGTAGTATATTGTTCTTGCTCCTGAAACAAACATGGCCTTACAAAAGGGCTACAGGAGAAAAAGTACTTGTATTTCAAAAGGCAACTTCATTTTATAAAATGATTTATTTTAGATGGCCCTTTGCCATCCTGACCTCCTCTTTGAATATGATTTTATGGACACAAGTTGGCTAATCAACCTTTACAGAAGACCCATTGCTTGAAAGAGTCAGAGCATGAAACAGTATATTCCTATGACTGACTAATGGATCTGGAGTCCTGAATTCTCTAGCACAAGCTCATCAACTGAAAGTGAGTTAAGAGGTATCATCACAAGGCCACAACCTAGCGCCTGGCTTCATCAGGTAACACAGAGGCAGCAAAGGGCCAGGGTCACAGGAACTGCTGGACCGAGGAAGAACCAGCTCTCCTTCATCCTGCCCTACTGCACTTTATACCCTATCGCGTCACTGTGCCAGGTGGTAGGACCAAGTCAGGTGGTTAGGACTATACTAATGTTTATTGAGACCCAGCGCCTGTGGGTGTCACAGGACTCTGAACCCAAGACCAGAGTCAAACAAGTCCAGGAGAAATTCTACTTGCTCACAATAATAAACACTTTTCATTAAATGGTCCTCACAAATCATTACTGACAAATATAAAGTTTAGCTGAACCCAGAAAAATACTAGAAATCACCGTGGTGACCAGCACAATGGGTTAGACAATCATTGGCAGCACTTCTGCAGGGGTGAGTCAGCTGTTTGACGTTTGTGGCAAGTCTGCAGGCCACACCACATGGGTGGGAGGCAGTTCTGGAGAGAAGCCACCAGGGCTGCAGCTGGACGTGTCTCAACGGTATACAGCAGCGGGCTGGGCAGTGCTGACAGTTCTTCTGGGTCTTTTAAAGGTGCAGAACTGTGCCAAGAATCTGGCTCATGGGGTAAAATATGGCTCTGGATTTATAGGTGGGAACAGGAAAGCCCAGAGGATTTAAACAATTAGGTAAAGTCTGTACAGAAGACTAGAATCTAAACCCATGTTTCTCTGCTACTAGGCGAGTGTTTTTTCTGTGACCTCAGAACATAAACGAGAAGAGTCACAGCTGGAATCACAGTAAATCTACCCAGCTTCAACTCCCTGAAGTTTGCTCTCCTCCAAGAGTGCTCTCCTGAGATGGATTTTATGGGCAGTAATCATACTTGGCCAAGAACGTAAGGTGCTGTTCTGAGGTACACGAAGTCCAGCTTTTAATTTGTAATCAAAGTATGCTTCCAAAGCCAATCAACCAGTAAAAGACACCGTATTATACTGTCTTTTAGGATAAAAAAAATCAACATTTTTATTGAGGGAAGGGCATGTAATAGTGTGTGTGTATGTGTGTGTGTGAGAGAGAGAATACTGGCCCAAGGGAAACTGGTGAGTTGTGGCTGACAGGAAGAACCTGTAACCAGCTGCATATGTTTTCCTCCTTTCTCCTCCTCCCACCCCCATGTTCTCTTGGTTTCTAAAAGGAGGAGGTTGTAGACCTGAAAGTAGCAAAAGGGGGGACTTTTGTTGGGTGGATACTTTTAGCACTAGGTGCTTTGTTCCACTCTGGCTAAATGTGAGCCATGAGGTAGGCCAGTGTTTTTGGCTACAGAAGGAGGGCTTCGCTGGGGCAGCTGCCTTTCACCTCACTAGAATGGCCATCTTCAGACTTCACTGTTACCTGAGTCTCTGGTCTTCTCCTCTCACCCCTTTGAGGTAGTCGTTCTATCCTCAAATTTTCTTTCTTGAAGAAATTTTACTTCTGGTTCTAGATTCCCTGCAACTGCCCAGATTGCCTTTCCCATCAAGCATCTGATCTTGATTTTATTGTGTGTATCAAAAGAAAGAAAACCTGAATGTGGCTTCAGTCAAGATGGCAGCATGGGAGAAGATGAACACAAAAGTGACAGCTTCTACAGCACCAAACCCTTGAATTATAATTTACCCTACAGAATGACTCATTGTCACTTTCACCAGCCCACGGCTGGCCTCTCTACAAGATGGGACGTAGGTCAATGACAAAGCTGAGGCAAGAGCTGCTCTGTTATTCTTTTTACTGCTAACAGAAAGTAAACATCAGAATAGCATTAGGCTGCTTCCTGGGGAAGGCAGGCGTCTTCAGGAGCTTGTGGGTAGAACATTCAAGACCTAGGAGAGGCCACTCCAAGGAGTTAGGATATGGTGCCCATCCTATCTCAAATGGTGTGACCAGAATTGTCTGTGGCCTCCTCCAAATGTACTATGGGGTTCTTTACCTGGTGCCACAACAGGTAAAAGCACAGCATTAGGAAGCTCTCTGCAGCCACTGCAGCAGGGAGGTGACCCAGATGGTGAAGTAGACCTCTCCTGACCTGCCAGCTGTTCCCCTCACCAGTGTATGTCAGCTGATCCACCTGTTCTGTTCCTCACTCTCTATCTAGTGAATCCTCTTACTCCCCACACCTCTGGCCTATACCCCAGTTCTTGTGTGCATAAATAAATCTTAAGGAACAAGACAAGCCAGGCCTGAAGTAGGACAAGTGAGGGTAGAGAGAAGGTAGGGCAGTGAACCAATCAGAACAGGTATCAATAAAGAATATGTCAAAAAGAAAGGGTGAGAGAATGGAGATCTGTTCAGAAAATGTCTAAATTAAAGAATCTTAGAGACTAAGCTTCTCATTCTTATATCTTTGAGACTACATATATCTCAGATTTCAGATATTCCAAAAGAACACAAACCTGTTGGGATATCCACACGGGTGGCTCTGGATGCAGTATGGGAACTTATCAAATGGTGACTCTTCATTCTGATTGGCAGAAGCAAGAAAACACATCAGTTAATGTCTGAGGCTTGGTGTAAAGGCCTTCATCTTCACACATTTGAAACAGAGAGGGTCTCTTGAAGGTAGCCCCTGTCAAGCCAGCCGAGTTGAGATGGCTGGTCCTGTGCTTCTCAAGTTTTTTTTTACTTAGTGTTATTTTCACAGATATCAGGAAGACAGCTTCATTGAAAAGAAAAAGTTCTACTCCACTGTCAGGATATGTATCGTCTGAAAACAGGGAATTTAGGAAAGAATATTCCAGGTTTTAGGAACATAACAACAACTCTTCTTGATTGGTAATCTACTCCTTAAGAGCAAAACTGAGGGGAATGTACTAGTTACAGCTTTTTTAGTTTTAGAGACAATGTCTTAATCATGTCTGCTTTCTCCTGGTGCCTAAAAGTGTGGAAAGGACTCTAGATCAAAATGTGTAGCAGGTCCTAGAATAAAGTTGTTTCATCCAATGTCATTTCCTTATAACCATGGCAAGAAATCACCCTGGATGACACTGAGTGAATAGCAACCTTCAAGGACCTGCTTTTATTATAGATCATTTTGCTGCAAGCTACAGTTTCTAAGAACCTTTCAGCTATGTGTCAAGAAGGGAGGAGACACACCGAATCTGAGTCCAAACATTTCCATACTAGTTTCAAATGCTTAATTTCCAAGGAAAAATCTGTAAACTCTAAGGGACTTTGCTCTACACGCAGTTCATGGTTCTTCTACTTCCAAAAAATATTTCCAAGATTATTTTAAATTTGGCATAAAACTATGACCATTCCAGCCAGATTATTTTATTCAATTGCCATTGAAGGACTCACTGTGATGAAAAAAAAAGAAAAGAAAAACCCCTTTATTATCCATTTTTGGCAAACAAAATGGTGGTATTTGTCCATATATTTTCTCCCTCACTATTTTCCTTCCTCCCCTTCTTTCTTTTCTTTATTCCTTTTCTTCAACAAACGCTACTTATTACAATGATTATATTACAAATCATTTTACGTACTATTTCAGTGAGGACAATTCCACCTGCTTATCTATATACTATAGGGCTTTTAAGAAGTGCTAATGTTTTATTTCATTACACTGAAAAAAAAAACAGTGATCAATTTTAATGATTCTTCTTGCTAGCGTAGATGTGATTTTAGGAGAGGTTCAGTCTTTTGTCTTATCTTCAAAGAAATAAGAGTTATTTATTTAAAATAAAACTAACTAATGATTCTGGATTGGGGGCTTTATTTAAAGTACAAAGCATACAAGAAAATAAATTGGGGCTACACATTTCAAAAATCTCCTTCACACACAATAATCTTGCTCAGAAACACTGACTATAGAGAGATCAATTTTCCATGAAAGTCCATAAAAAATATTTAGTAGAATTACTTTTATTGTGATGTAAGAGTTTTTAAAAAGTATACAGTCAGCATAGGTAAACACTACTAGTGCTGGAGTCTTTGTGCTCAAATATTCACTGCCTCCAAGAACAGCTCCCATTCCATGGTTGTGATGCTTGCAGCAAATAAGTCCGAGGTCACAAAAGGAAACATAACATCTACCACTCGCCCATAAAAGGTTACGAAAAGGCCTAATTATTTTCCCACATTATTGTTCTCTGCATAGGGGTGGAGGTTGGAGGTTGGAACTAAACATTGCCTTTAGTCATACATAAGTCTGGGGCTTGGTCAGAGGTAAGGGAGACTATAAGTATCTACTCCTACCCTCTATGGCAAGACAAGTCATTTTCATTGGTGCTTTATTCAAGATGAGTTCTAATTTTGAGGGCTTATTTATTTATTTTAAAGATTTATTTATTATTTATACATACAGAACTGGGGTATAGGCCAGAGGTGTGGTGAGTGAGAGGCTTCACCAGGGACAGAGTGGGGAGCAGAACAGGCAGATCGATGAAGTACACTGCTGAGGGGAACAGCGGACGGGTCAGGAGAGGTCTGCCGCGCCATGTGGGTCAGCTCCCTGGCTGGAGATGAAGCTTCTAAGAGCTTCATAATGTGGTGCTTTCAGCCATTGTGCCACAAGGGAGAGCCCCCCCCCTTTTTTTTTTAACAAAGTGAAAACCTAGTCCTTCTTCCCTGTCTGATAGTTAAATATAGAAGAAGAAACCTAAAATGCAACTAATCAAAAATTCTGCCTGGATTTTGTTTCTCATAAATTTGAACTTGGTAAGAAAGGAGTAAATGATAACCAAACTGATAACAGGAATTTTAGTTAAATAGTAGCAGTGACCATCCTTGAAACAGTCAGGTTATATATAATATCTGAAGCCTTCAAAATTAGCTATGTCACCAATATGGAAGATTTTTGTATGTAATTATGCTTGGGTTATCAAATGAATGTACTTTGTTAGTTTTACACAATTCTTGCAAGGTTAGAACAGAAAATTATCCTTTCTACAGTCGTTTCAATTCAGTTTCAAGCAAAAAACCAGGTGAAAACCACTTTTTGGTCAAACTGTTGGGTTTAATCAGAAAATGACACTAGTAAGGATACGCATCCCCTAATCCTTCCTTAAAATGTTTTACTTACTATTTGTTTCAGTCAATTATGCTGTGTTCTCAAACTAATATAATCCAAACTAAATAAAGGCTCTATTAAATTATGACTTACCTAGGAATCACAGAATTGTCAAAGGGTAGTTTCGGTTTACTTGGGATCAGCAAAGTTCTTAATTGTTCCTGAGAAGAAAGTCTCACTTAGAATATTACCCAAAATTGCATTCTAATTTCATAAATAATGTCACTCAAGTATGCCAAGTTGTACTTAATGTCAAGTCATTCATACATTGCGATCTGAATGGACAAGAGGAACTCGGCCTATTTCTCTTGTTATCAGATATTGAAGTTCCATAACTCCATGACTCAAGATTGGTAACTACTAATTTTCTTTGTCCTTCTCACCCCCAATATCCTCCAGGCCTCAGGTTAAAGGTTGCTTTCTCACAGACACTACTGATGCCTGCACTACTGCTGGGAGCTCTCTGCCTTCTCATTGCCCCTTGGGTTTCCTCTATGAGAAACTTGTTGAATTTACTTGCCAAATGTCTGACTTCCCTCTTTGAGGGTAGAGGCCACATTTCTAACTTTGTATTTTCAGGGCCTAACCTTGTCAAGTTAGTGGATGAAGGAAGCCACTCTTAGGCACACTGAAAGGTTTGAAGTACACCCCCTTTACAGGATTAAAATCAATTCCTGATTGAGTATCTAGTGCTCTTTAACTAGCACTAGATGCTGGGTTTTTTTGTTTGTTTGTTTGTTTTTTTCAGATCATATTTTCTCTAAGAGGCATTTTTCACCCAAAATATTAAAGCCACGACAATAGAAAGTTCATCACAAAGATGGGGCTGCAGATGTCCAGCTGGACTGCTCACGGAGTGACTTTTCTAAGAAACAGGTAACCTAAACTTACGACACAACGATATTGCAAACTACTGTGACAAGGACCTGAAGAGGTGCTTGAAAATAGCAACAATCTTAACATTAAATCTATACAAATGCCAACTGCCAAGTGTTTAATCATATGGTTCTAACTCATTTGCTGAGGAGGGGGAGAGAGGGGAGGACACTGGTGATCTAGTAATGGCAGCAAAGGCTTTACTGTGAGCCTGAGGAAAGGTGTCAAGACACATAAAAGGGAAAAAAGAAGGCACATAAGTGGGAGTAAGAATGAACCACCCTTATTCTTTGAAAAAGATGTTGCCTTTTTTCAAAATGTCTTCTGAAGTGGGCTGTGTCCCAAGAAAAGATGGCAGAAACTCCACATCATCCTGAATAACAGGACTTCTTTTACAAAGTCCCTAAATCCAGCTATTACTATTTGAGGGGCTACAGGGGCTCCCTCAAAACAAAGCAACCAAAGAAACTATTTTTGTCCCTGAGAAAAAGCGTGTCATGTAGAGAACATTCATTCATTCTTGAAAAACCCAGTCTTTTATTTTTTCTTCTGAAAAATTTCCCCTGAAATTTACTTTTCCTGCCCCTTCACACCCCATCAGGTCTATTTCTACCTCTAGTCAGCATATTTCATTATCATCTTTTTTATCTATTGGCTCCTGGTGAGCCAATCCTTACTCTTTCCCCCTT